CTTTTAGAGGATTTTTGATGCCTTTTTGGTTCCTTTAATTATTTTTAGGGGCCGTTCACTTATGACGTCTGACATTTAGGGGGGGAGGGGATCTAAGATTTTGTGACAGTTCAAACAATGGAAATTTTTTTCTATAGAATTTTTGTGACAGAAGTGGGGGGGGGGGGGGGGGGGAGGGGGTTTAAAAATCAGGTTTTTTGATGGACGTCATAAGTGAACGACCCCTTAATCAATCATCGATTTTTTCCTGGGCTTTTTTATTCAGTTCCTTTATTTTTCTTCTAAGTGAGGATTTATAAGCTTTACAAAGTTTCGTAATGAAAAGGTCACTGGCAACAAAAGCTACTGAAATAAATGAATTGAACCTTTTAAATTTCTTTTTGATGTGAAGTCTTCAAGACTGGACGGTTCACTTGCAGTTAAATGAATATTGCTTTATATTCTATCTGAGCTTCATTTTTAGAATGAGGGGAATGAAGAAGCTTTCGATGTATCAAGTTCAAGGTTATATTTGAAAAAGAGTTGTCGTATTGGAAGTAATCAATCACTACAGAGCAAAAGAAATTCTTTCTGCATGTCAAATGATCCATTTTAGATTGTTGTTATGGAGATCCGATAACTTTGAGGTGCATCTACAACTATGTGTGCAGTCATCATTCATAAATATCATACTTCATCTTCTAAGTCTTGATGCTTCTAGATACCAGCACAGTGGGATAAATTGATGAGTTCCTGTACTGTATCTCAATACTATAAAGCTAATTTATCAAGTCAAACCTTAAAAATTCAACCTTATAGGCCAGTGGTGTCCAACATTTTTTGTTCCACGGCACAGTTGGTGCTAAGCCATGACCAAAACTGCACACAGCACCGGATTTGTGCGTTATACTAATTTTTTGAAACACTAGTGTGCCGTGACACACGGGTTGACCATTACTGATAAAGGCTATAATATCTTCCAAATAAACAGAACACGGAAAATTTTCTCATTACAAAATTGCTCATTTGATTAAAAAAATTGAAAGTGTTAAAAATAAAATCATAAAAAAATTTCATTGAATCCCACAAAAAAATGAGAAAGGATGTGCAAAAAATGACACAATTTCATTCGCTTTATGGAATGTTTATCATAATACAGAGCAATATGTTTATATCTGCATCTCGTTTATATTTGTTTATTTATTTTCCCTCTCGTTTCTTGTTTTGTTTCCCATTCAATTTCTCATCCTTACATTTTTATTTAGCTATAAAACCCATATTCGTTTGATTATTTGATAAAAAAAAAGATGAAAAGATGAAAAGAGGAAATTTTTTTTACGGCGAATCATAAAAATGATGAGAAGCATGGATGGTGGAAAATCGTAAAAACGAGCACAAGAAGGAACGCGTTTAGTAATCCACATATAAATATCCATTTTCATCTGACATTACTTTCTTCTTGCTGTGTTCTTTTGTTTAGGGATTCTGGATATTGTTTGTGTGTATTAGGAACTGGATGGTTAGGATAGGAGCTGGTAGTTTCCAAAGCTTTTCATCTTGCTGGTTGAAATTAAAAGAAGGAGCTGAAGAGGATCGGGATGTGGGAGGAGGGGAGGGAGGAGGGCGAGGGGGTTTATTCTCAAAAATAGCATGAATGCATGTTTATTTAAGTCAATGTTTTGACTGACTGAGAATCACATTATGACATTGCATAGACTCCTGATCGATTTAAACAGTATTTTAGGCCATTTGGGTATTAAGGACCTGAAGAAGCTACAATTAATGAAATATTTAAGTCTTATTATGGAGATGGAAATAGAATTCCTGTAAGGGAGCTGTTGACAGAGATAGCATAGCATTTGGCAATTGTCAGAGAGTAGCTAACGACAGAGGTTTTTTCAGTCACCAACTAACCAGTGATGTATTTAAGTATGTATGTGGGTATTAAGGACACCACTTTAGCTAGAATCTGAAAAAAGACAGACTAGTTAAAACTGACTCAATCCATTAAAGCATTCAGGCTTTCAATATTGAACTCATAAACTTAGGACACAACTTAGACACAAAAATCAAATTCCACTAAACCCCTCGACATCTCATTCAACCCAAGAACCTCTACTCCCACTCGCCATGTATTTTAGATTATGAGAATAAAAATTTATCATAAGCGTTACTTAAAGAGATGAACGAGGAGCTTTAAATGAAATAAGGAGGAGGGACCAAAAGTTCTTCATCCTGCACGTTTATGGTTTATATCGATTTAAGCAAATGGCTAAGCTTATAAGTTTTTTTTACCCATAAAAAATGATTTGATATTGTTTGGGTAAATATCATAAATCAGATTGACACTCTTGGGATGATTTTGAAGGATTTTTCGGATGAATGAGATATTTTCTGATGCTGTAGATATTTATCACTTACTTAAGGACAAGCAGCAAGGAGAGGAATTTTTTTGTAGATTTTTAAATCTTAGCTTTGATTCCACCTAGATGGGTATGTTAAAAAAGCTGAATTTTCACGATTCAACAGCCTTAAAAAATCCTCAAATTTATGTACGAATAAATTTTTCATGACAGTACAAAATGCTGTTCCGCAAATCTTCACAAACTCAAATGCACAACATAAATCAAAATTTTTGAAGGGTTCGTTCATAAATGATGTCTCATTTGTGGGTTTTTGGGGAATAAGAAGGCAGCTGTGGTTTTTGACTATGCAATTCTAGATAAAAAATATTTTTGAGAGTGTTGGAGTTTGTCTGACGTCACTTATGATCGTCCCCCCACATCCAAAACAACAAGATTTAGAGCGAAAAAAATAACATTATAATGAGTATTTGGAAACATTTATCAATTCACTGTATGAAGCATGAAACATGACCGACATGTACATAATAGCATAAGACAATCTATAAACCGTAAAAAGATATACTCACTGAGTCACATGTGTGTGTATGTAGATATATGAAGCTGTTGGATGTGAATAGATCCTACTGAAAAAAATCCCATTCTTCATTCGGTGCGGCAAGAAATTACCATGTGTAATATATGAAGCAAGTCATTCATTCACTCACTGAATAAAAATGTAATGAAAGCGTCAAAATAATTCATATGCTGAAGCTGAAGCCGTTTAGTTCGTATTTCATGCACACCTGACCACCGCCACCTCACATTCTATTAAAGTTCACATTAATCATTGCGTTTGGGACACTTTTTGTCTTTTTTTGCAGTTCTTGATTTTTGGAGGGTAATCGGAGATTCTGTTTGCTGTTAATTGGGGAGCTAGATGGTGTTTCTACGTGGAACAAGGACTAGCATTGCTTGCCATATAGATCAATTGCGATCCACATCTTGCCTCTAATAACACATAAACCTAGCTTTATCGATGGCTACAGCTTGCTTATTACCGATAAACAGAACTATATAACAACTTAGTTTGATTAATTAGAATTTGGAAGTGATAGCCTTCTTATTGTTACCATTTTGAGTCGAGGTACACTACGAGCACGGTTGTGAGATGTCTAAGGAATAAAACTTGACGTTATTCAGTTTCAGATTTAAATGAAGCTTCATTCTGCACTTAAGATCAAATATAGTCTTACAAAGTGGGATGAAAGGGAAGTGGGAGATCGCTGAAATTACGAGCATGTTACTGAAAGTGAACCAAGAGCCATCAGCATCTAAAGAACAAAACTTGGAACAACTCAAAATTTTTTTAGACTCTCATTAATACAAATCGAAGCATATACGCAAGAGTGAATTTTTAGCTGCATTAGCACATCCAATCGAGATAAATGATAATGGTCGAACAATCCTCCTTTTCCTTACCACAGCTTCCTCGTGCGTATAAAATACAAAAAGGCTGATTTAACAGTTTTATTGGAACATCAAAAAAAAACTTTTTTTTTGTGTCCATTGTGACGCATATTCATGGAAGGAAGATATTGGACACCCAAAAATTAGAGATGAAAAATTTCATGCCAGTAAATCTTTCATCTGTAACATGCATGTCAAATTCCCATATCTTGATTTCTCCCTGCCATCCCTCCTTCTGGTTTGCGTAAGAAAAGTCATCAGAAAATTTTATTCCTACAGTCACCACAAACTGTCACATAATTGCCACAGAAATCATTAATTTAACCTTTTGTAAAAACCCCCTAAAGCCTTTTTGTGGTTGATTTTTTTCACTTTACATCATCCTTTTAACTTTTTCATTCTTCAAAAAAAAACAGAGAAAACTTAACATGGGGACAGTTTGATGTGGGATAAAAGTCTTTAGAATGTAAATCATAGTGAAAAATGTGAGAGAGGTCAGTGGGAATTATTTGTGATTTTTTAAATAGGAATTTTTTGTGGATGTTTATTAGCTACTAGGCTATTTTGGGGCGCCCGTCGTGACCGTTATTAGGGTTTAAGTTTGATTCCTATTTTGTGAATTAATGAGCTGTAACAAGCATATAACCTTAATGATTTCAGAGTCAATCCTCCCTCATAACTTCACATGGCTTCACAAAACCCCTCAAAAGTGCCTTGATCCCACAAAAACTTTATAAATGGCTTCAATAAACTTTACATGGCTTCACAAAATAAACATCCTTCCCCCTCCCCCACCTGGAACCTACCTTGTCAACACCTCCAACACTATGGAACTCTTAAACATGTCCTCAAATCATTGGGTTCACAAAAAACTTCACATGGCTTCCATTCTAGAGACAGGGAGGGAATTGGGTGTTTATAATATAGATTCTTAAATGGACAATAATGCTGTCAAGTGAGGTTCGCTCAGTATTCGAAGATCACATGTAAGACATACAGATCGAAGCTCAAATGAAGCTAATGTTTGGGGTAGGGGATGTCATGACTAGTTTAAGCCAACACAGGCCAGAAGCTGGTTTCTAGCACTAGCTACTTTATCTAAAACAAAGACTTACATTTATAATACTAGAGTAGAATGTCCAGAAAGATTTTAAAGCAAGCCTCATTTTAAGAAGATTAAGACTTAATCAGCTCAAGAACTAAAATCTGTCATTCAAGCATCAAACATTTTCCAGCCACAACCTCTTCAGTCACCAAGAAATTGTCAAGAAAGTCATAGTCTTCTTTGTCAACCCAACAATCATTTTTCTTTCCCCATTTCCTCTGTATCTGCAAAGATACACAATAAAAGTAAACGAAGAGAGGCGGAGTGCGCGTTTGTTACAGAGGGCATATCTCTTGACATAATCACCATTCATCTTAACCAAGGCAAATAATGCTTGACTAGAAATTGTCTGCTATATAATAAATTTGTGCTTCCATAAAGAACAAGTAAATGTGATGCTATTAAAGGACGCTCGAGGCGCAATGTGGTTGTGCTTTGAAGATACTTGAAAGGAGAAACTGAGGTGGAAGAGTTAGTTCAATGGGTTTTTTGAAAGATGTCAAGGAGGAAGCAAATGTTTGTGACTGTAAAGAGAATGACAAGTTTTTCATTTTAGAATATTATTAGACAAATTAGAATGATAAGAGATGGAAGATACGGTATATGAGTGGTATGTTTGAGGATTTTTTGAGTGGGAAGCTGGAACAAAGTTATAAGTAAGTAGCTATTAGCATGTAAAAGCTTTTAGGTTCACTTTTGGAAGTTAAGAATGCATGGATTAGATATAGAACTGGAAAATTAACGAACTGGACAACAATTGGCTAGTTAAACTTGACTAATGAATTTAAGCATTAATTAGGCACTCTTTGGTGCTATTTCATACTCAATGTATGATAGACCATCGTATCCGACACTCAGTCAGACCATCCAAATCCACAATCAACTTCTCACATCCTTTCATAAAATTCAAGCAAAAAATAAGAAAAATATAGCAATGAATTGAGGAATTCTCGCTTCCTATTTGTGTGACACGCACGCACACAATTTTTTTTCCATCCTCACAACTTATTCGTATTTTCATTGTGCCCAATGAATGATAATTATTATCTTTATAGCTCAAAGTTTTTAATTGCTTTTGATAAAGTTGAAAGTTTTTTTTTTGCTCCATCGTCTTCAGCTATTTCCAAGTTTTATCTTGTTATGTATGAAAGAAGCCGCAGATTTTTTTTTCTGTATTGAATGAGCAAAAGAATGTGGGGATGAACGAAAAGGAAAAAAAAATATTGAAAAACTTTTACACGCTACATCACGGCAGGAGGAATGAAATAAACAAAAACAAGGCAGCAACTGAACAGGAGGGAATTTTTTTTGTTGTTGCCACATTAACTCAACTTTTTACATGTAGATGAATAAAGATGATTTTGAATTTATTGTAAAAATTGTTCATTAAACATGAAGGTAAGTGAAATTTTATTTTTTTGACCCCAGAGACACGTTTCATCAATTTTCTCTCCTTATCAGGGGTGTAGTCAGGAATTTAAAGAGGTAGGGGGGGGGGGGGGTTCTGTAGTTTTATTCCCAAACAACAAAAGTTTAAATGAATAAAGACAAGATGTACATTTTTTGGGTTTGATAATTAATAAATAAAGGGCTGTTTCATAAATGACGTCAATGAAAATCTAATTTTTTAAGTTATTCTCTCAAAGACGAAGAAATAAACTGTTTGAAGAAAAATATGGAAGCTTCACTTCTTAAAGGTGTGCACCTTCATTTATTGTGGCTCCTTGATATAGCTTATTTCTCACTTTTCTTTTGTCAAATGAGTTCAAACCAGGCATCATTGAACTATTACATCAATTTGATGTTTTGTCATCTGTTCTAGAATGTAGGAATGCTTTATCAATAATGTGTTATTTCTCGTAATACTTGACAACAATACAGTCTCGTATTTCCTTACTTACTTCGATGGAGCAAATCAATTGTGATGTTTGGTCTCCATTATTGAAGATTGAAGATAGATACTCTATTTCTGGCTGTAACTTGCCAATTCCCAAACCAAGTGCAACGCAGTCTTTGTCAACAGCCTTGTTCCATGAGTTCTTCGACTAGACCAGTGATAGTCAACCAATATGCCACGGCACATCAGTGTGCAGCTAAAACATTCGTATGATGTGTGCGATTTTCGTCATGTTTAAAGTTCAAGGTGTGCCGTGGCTCAAAAAAGGTTGGCCACCTCTAGACTAAACCATGCATTTGTGCTAAGTTGTTACTTCTAAAATTCAGCTGTTCCTCAACAAACACCAGAGAGCAAGTTTGTTGAATAAAGAATAATCATTATGGAGCAAAAAAAAATCCATAAGTCTACAAAAAGGCCTCAAATTTTAAATTCCAAACCTACAATCTAAAATATTTTCTCGTCCTCATCAGAAATTTTTCCACATATTTGCTTATTTTTTATCCACAAAAAGAAGAAAAGAGAAGAAAATAAAAAACAAGTTTCAAACTCATCGGAAAAGTTGGCAGGAAGAAGGAAAAAAAATATTAATTAAAAATTTATCTCACGATTTTAATTTTTCTTCCTTCATTCTCCGCTTTTTGTATAAAGCAGCACAATAAGAAGCACAACTTTTTCTATTCATTCACAAAAAAAAAGCTGTGAGAGGAAAATGTTTATATTTTGAACATTTATTGATGCATTTAATCCTATTTCTATTGATAAGTTTGAAATAATATTTTTGAAAATAAAACTTTTCTGTTTGAGTTTTGGATTGTTTTCTAACTTTATGAGCTGAATTGAAATTTAAGCATGAACATTGTTGCTGAAAAAACGAATATTGAGGAAGTTGGGTTGTAATTTGGACTTGTTATGTAACTATTAAGGCTTTTTTTTGGAATAAGTGAGTAATGTGGAATAAGGCTGGATTTGGACTTCTTTCGCATCATTCCGACTTAAAGCTTGTATTATTTGCCTGATTGTCATTCTCAATCATAATTAAATTTACAAATAAGCTAGTTTCTAGGTTTCTAAGTTGCAGACACCTCAAACTAGATGAATTGAGCGACGTAAGTTCGATTCTCATTAAATCTAATTCTGAATAGCCCAGAAAATCAAATATTCCACAATTAAACAATAAATCTGATCTACCAATCAATAAATTTAATTCCAAAAATAAGCATACATATCAGAAACCACAAAAATAAATGTAGCTTTGTAACAAGCACCAAAGCCTTACCAACAATCATTGGAATCGATGTAAATATCACCAATGGAAACAACAAACACAATAAAATATGGTTTTAAAATTAATGCAAAATAACAAATGAGAATTTAATTGAATCCTTTCCAATACTTTTTAACCATTCCCTATGCAGTTACCACAAATTATCGATGATTGATATGTAATGCAAAGCCGATTTGTAAAATATTTTATACATGCATGAATGGGGAAGAGATTGTGGGATGTGAAATACAAACAATAATGAATTTAAAATTTTACACAACATTAGCATAAAAGGAGGACTGAAAATCTTATGTGGGTGTGCTTGTTTTGAGGACAAAAAATGTGAATAGCTAAAATAGGAACAAAAATGAACCTTGAATTTTAAAGCATCCAGATTTCATTTTCTTTTGAGTTTCCCAATTCTCGGTGACAGATTTTTGTTACATTTGCTGAATGAATCAAGGTGAAAGATTGATAGATGTTTATGTTCGATCCGAATTGAATGTTAAGCAAACATTAAGCTCAATGACGTGAAAGATTGATGATTTCATATCGAGCTACAAGAGAGTATCGAGAATCAAATCAATCTTTTTAACGCAAGAGCTTTTCATGTCTAACACGTCGCTTTCTTTTCGTACCTTAAACAGCTGAATTTCAATGCATGCACGCGTCGTTGAAACTTTAAAAAATTAAATTGGATACACGCTATTGAGCAACAACATATTGTTAGTGTTTATCATGTACATGCTTCGACATTGTCGCAATGAACATTGAAAAATTATTTCAAACATTCGATCCTACGCCTTTATAGATGTACATGTACCGTCAGGTGTCAGGTAATTACAGGTGATTCATGTGATGTTTAAATTTAGGATAAATTGGATTTTTTCTCTCACAAATTCGTTGATTAATCTTCAATTTTGAAATTTATGTAGCTACTAGTTTCTTGTAAGCTATTGCAACTCTTAAAAACGCTTGAAGCTGGATCATTCGATGATTAAATTGTCAATTTCTAAGGCAAATATATGTCATCAAAATGCAACAAGAATGCAAACATTCTTATAAAGTTATTGATTAATGATTCATATCGGAAAATTGAATCAAAGCTAGTCATTACTGCAGCCTACTAGTATTTCACTAAGCTAACGTATAATTTGGCATTTACCTTCGATTCAACATATACTTATGGCGCTAAGGCAAATATTAACAGACTGTTGTGTATCGACATTTTTAATGCAGTGCTATGAATAATTCTTAAGGTTGAACTAGCTCCTAAAAATTGTTGATAATTATCTGGAATTAATCTATGAAAGAATGTAAAATGGATTGCGATTCCAAAGCAGAACAGTTAAGAATGAGCTTTTTTAGCCTGGATTGATGAATAAACAGATAGAATCTAGCTTAATCTACGACTAAGGATCTAATTTAGAACATATTTGATTGGTATGGTTTTTACAAATTGAAAATCGAAGAGATTAAGTTCCCGATACAAAATAGGCTGTGTAGGTTCATGCTATACTTTATAAAACCTAATTTCAATTACAGACATGTAAAGTGATCAAACCCGATTAGCACAAGTCGATTAATCGAATAGAAATTCAATGCCAAGCTGGCATGATGCTGGTTTCAATTAAAATCCAGTACCATTCCAAAGTCACACCATCTTGGTGCCAAATTTCTGATAGATTAACCGACTTGTACCATTCGGGATAATAGATACACAAAAATTTTGAATTCAAACCTCCAAAAACCTCCCGCAATCATCAGCCAACTCATCGTACACACATTCTACATACAGTTTGGCGAGGACTAACCACAAAGCATTCAGAAATTAATTAATATGGTTTTGCACTATACATTAATTATGACACACTGTATGTATATGTTCTCTTCCTCTTAAATGTACATGACCTGTTGCAATGAATACACAAAATGAGATAAGAGAGTAAGCAGGTTTTTTTTTTGCTCATTTTCAACCTTTTGGGGGGGTTAACAAATATGAACAGGTTGTGAGATTAATAAGGAATTGAGAGACATTAATTTTTATGGCGGAAATTGTTTTATTGAGTTTTAAATTGTTGCATTATGTCAATTATGGCAATTTAGTATAGTGGGCCACCTCAAAGAGGGGTTGTGAGTTAAAGTGGTTTGGTGCTGGAATGGCTTCGTCCTTTGGTACCTAATCATTGCAATACCGAAACAGCGATCATGGGTTCAAGACTGGGTATGAGAAATTTTCCGTTTTCGAATCATATGTACTGAAAATGAGGCTCACAGCCTTCCTTTGTAGGCTACAGGCAGAGATGTCATTAAAGGAGTGGTTCGGATCTCACTTTAAATTGTAAGACTAGGTTTTATTGCAGTAATTTGGCTATTTGGTATCCTCACTTGTTAAACTCTCATTAGCTTTGAAACACACTAGCGCACCTCTGGATCACTATCGATCTGAATAGGTAAAGGTTTTTTTTTCAAAGAATGATCAACAACTTCAATCTGAAGTGAATCTAACCCTCCCTTGCTCAAACTTAGTATGCAAATCTCTACACCTAAGACGACCAACTCCCAACCCGTCCTCATCACTCAATAAATCCATAAATTAAACCCATACGACTTATTTACAGCAATTTTCATCATCCAAAAGAAAACTCACAAAAAAAGAAATTGCATAAAATTAAGCAGTAAAAGGAAATCCAATTGAATCTCAATGAATATGATAAAATTCACCCTCATTTCTTTACTATTTATCGATCGTCTCTCTTTTTTACACTTATCAAAACCATCACCTCAAAAAAAAAGAGAAGATTGCAATTGAATGAAAGCTATAAAAAATAAATTGAATTGCACATTTAGCACAATTTTCTATGACCGAATGTAAAAGAAGTCGATTTATACACACAGGAGATGAAAATGAAAAGAAAAAAAGGGGGACGAAGCTGCTATTGATTCTCAACAAGACGGTTCATCTGTTTGAAATTTAATGCATTTAAATTGTAAAATTAGATTGTGGTGCCTTTTGTTATCATTTACTATTGAATGGAACTAAAAACTCAATTTTCATCTAGTTGATGCTGAGTGCTGTCGAAATAAATTGCAAATATACTTTATTTTAGACACAAAACATAACTTTAATCTAATACAATGAATTTGCTACACTCATAGAAAAAAAGTAACAAAATGTTTGTAACTTGTATGGAAAATGTTAACAAACAATTCGTTAAAATAGTGTTTACGAACTTATTTGTTAAATTTAACCAAATTATTTGTAAGGTTGAATTGTTAACTATAAAAATTGTTAATTTAACAAACTTTTTGTTAAAATTTTTTTTTACAGAAAAAAATAACAAATTTTCGGTTAATATTAACCAGAAAATTGTTAATTTGGTCACCCATCTTATTTTAAAATGTTTCCGTGGTTGCTTAACTTCTGAATTCCTGTTGATGATCCGCTAGTCCGCTGCTTGTAAACTTTTACTTATAAAATTTGATTCAGAACCAATATAAATAATTCTTTAAAAAATATATCCAAATTTTAAAATTAATTTATGAATAATGAAATAGAAATGTAGGACTTAAAAAAATGAACAAATTTAATTTTTAAATTACGATTTGGTTTGTAAATCATTATTTTCCAAAACAAATTACAAATAAAAACATTGTAACAAATGTTTTGTTAAAATTAACAAATTAATTTGTTAAACAAAATCAACAAAATTCAATTTAAAGCAGTTTTCTCATTAAAAATAACGCAATAAATTAATGGGAATCGTTTGAAATTAATCAAACAAGAGTTTTGAATACAAAAATTAAAATTTAATTAAATCAATTATTAACAAATAAATTTGTTGATTTAACAAACTCAATTGTAAAATTTTTAACAAATAGTTTGGTTGAAATTTTTTTTACCCATGTAAACTTAACCAATAATTTGTTAAACTAGTTTAACAAACATATAACAAATATTATGGTTACTTTTTTTCTATGAGTGTATTGATTCTTCTCCCTCATTGTCTATGCAGAGATAGATCTTCCTATAATGATCGCAATTTAAGCTGATTCGTACAAAGTAACAAGTACGGTGTAGTATGAGTATGTAAGGTTGGATATCTACAGAAATAGAAATGACAATAACCAAGTATGGCATTTTAAATTCAGTTCTATAAATTCACCCATTGAAATGTTTCCAAATTAGCATCCAAGAAATTGAATCCAGACAATTTCTGCTCGATCTGAGCTCGAGCCATAATAATTAAAACATACTTCCGATACTTAAGATTTCCATTAATCCAGTTAGTGTTGTAGATATCTTCAGCTACTTTAAATGATGCTCTGAAAATTTAAAATCAAAATAATATTAATTCTATGGCAGGTAAAGATTCAAACCTGATTGGCACACATCGAAATTTGTTGAAATGTTTGCCGCCTGGCAGTTGCTTCCAAGAGGCTGTCGCTTGGTTCTTATTAAACTATCAACCAGGCTGCCTGGTGGCAAACATTCCACTGTGTGTCGACCGGGTATGTGCCGTGCTTATAAGTTTGTCTAATCTAAATGAGACTATTTGCTAGACAGTTCGGAAGACATGGATTCAATGGTTGTCTGCTTGGTCATTTATATAAAACTTGAATAATTCTGATGACAGCCCAGATTCCTAATCTATTGCCTTAACACTAAACCACACAGCACTTCCTTTAGCTTTATTAGAATAACCAACACATGAAAATAATAATAATAATGTGTGAAGGGCCCAGCCTTTCAGCTGGAGGCACTGCGATTCAAATTATACAACGCTCTACCAACGCTCTACCATTAAGGCCACTGATGCCATTTCACCGCATTTCACCAACACATGAACAACAACAACCAAACTTACTCTGTCAAGTGATCACCATAATAACAATGACTAAATGCATTCCAAGAGGCCGTCAAAAATAAGAATAAATAACGAATGAGGAACAACCAGCCAATTCCAGCCTGTATTAAATAAAATTAAAAGAAAAATCTCATAATAAATTCTAGAATTAAATCTTACAAATGACAGGAATGCCAAAGTGCACATCATTCCGATGATTCCGAAAAGATCCATGAATAAAATGAGCGAAAATACTTCCTGCAATTTCTCAGACACTGAAATTAATTCCTCGTGAACCTTAACAAGCTTCTTCAATTCACTAAGTGCCTTTTCTTGATTCTCTTCTGGATCAATCTCGCTCATCATTTGTCCCATAATATTTAATTCCATTGCAGTCAGTGCCACAAGTTCAGCATAAAGCAAATCAGTCATAAAAATGAATGACAAGCCTGAAGAATGAGACACAAGTGCTAATGTGTTGATTGACATGTATGGAACTGGATGGTTTTGCTCAAACGGCATGAAAAAGTTGAAAATCGGGTTGAGCTCGAATTCTTGGGAAGTGATTAGCCAGTAAAGTTGAGCAAAAATAGGAATGAAGTTAAACATGACAAATCCAAGGACATAACACAAAACTCCTAATTTGCTGAGAAACTTAAGATCCTTTAAATGACTTGACACTTGAAATACTTGCTGATTCCATCCATCAGTTGGATAGTAAGACTCTAAAGTGTCAATAATTCCACCAACATTTGTCCGATACAGGTATAAGATTGAGTATACCTTTACAATAATTACAGTCATGCCAGCAATCGTGCAAATGTTCTCAGCTAAAGTCACAACAGCACCACTTTTTGTAAAGCCAATAATCGCGCTAGTCAAAAGCAGAACTGTTAAAATCATCAAACTAAGAAGCGCAACGATGAATACCAGCTTTTTGCGTTTACTTTCAGTACTGGATGGAATCAATGGCAAATTGTTGAATCCAAAGAAATCAAACATTTTTTCTGACATAAAGAAGTCTGAAAACACAATAAACGAGGTCTGTGACTTCTCTGACCGGAACTTAATCTTCAAAAAATTTCTAGCTTTCGTAAAGGCTTCCATTGAAGATTTTAGTTTTAGTTCTGACTTGACTGGATGATCGATGAGAACTGAATTCTTTTGTGCACTGAAATAAAAGTATTTTTTTTATTTTTCTAGAGAAAAGGCTGGTTAAACTTCTTAAATAATTAATGCTGTTAGCAATTGTATGTGATTAGATGCAATTGGAGTTGAATAATGTTCCTGATTAAGTTTTAACATGATTTATTAACTTTTATAACGATTAGTAATTTTACAGAAGCTGAAAGTGAAATCTGGGAGATGGCCCAGCCTTTTTGAGCTGGAGACACTGCGAATTAAATTCAAGAAATTGAAAATGAAATCTGGGAGCTCGTATTCATGAAGAACCGGCAATTCTATGGATTTTAGGCTATAAAATGACCATGAATGAATATGAACTCCTAATAAAAGAGAGTAGAGCTTGAAATTTAATTGAGTCAACTCGGTTTATCTTGAAATCCTACATAAATCGCAACTCCATTGAATTCCTTACTTGGATGACCGGATAGATCAATCATGATCCATGGTCTTCTTGAGGCGTCGCCGATATTTCCATTGTAAGTTCATTAAAAAATTTCCCAAAAAAATCTGTCGGAGATAGAAAAGAATGTTGTAAAATAATTCTAAATCATAAAGAAGACGCAAAATTTCCAACAAAGTCGACAACAATTTCTCATCAAGACTATCGCTCTTGTGAAGAAACAGCACAAATTCATTGTCATAGGGACATTAAAAAGATGAAGGAAAAATGATGATTGTTAAGTTAAATTTGATGGAAAGAAATTTACAAATTAGTTCGAAATTTCAATTACTGCTGATTTCATCACTAAGTTCGTAATTGAAAATCAGCCATGATTGCCTTAGGGGGCTGTTCATTTATGACGTCCATCAAAAAACATGATTTCTAAACCCACAAAATTTGTGTAAAATAAAATTTCCTTTATTTGAGCTGTCACAAAATCCTAGACCCCCCTACCCTCCTAAATGTTGGACGTCATAAGTGAACGGCCCCTTATCAATCCCTTATCATTATGATTACAACAATAATCATCAAATTAAGTCGCCAAATATATGAAAAAATCAAATAAAAATCGGCATGAATATGTTAAAAGTCATTTAAATTCATCGAGATATAAGCCAGGCATCAGGAGATGTGAATTTGAAGAACAAAATCCTCTTTATGTTATCAATAACATTAAATATTTCCCATGCAAAACTCATGACAATATAATTCTGACAAAGTCTTTCTCTCTTTCTCTCTCTTGGTATTATTCATACATGGAAGTTGTTATTAAATGATATAGAGATGTCTAATATTTATCGAGATTCAGATGTATACCCATTTATTTTATGCCTCAACACCCTCTTTCCTTTCATATTCCGCAACTGCCGTTCAAAATAAATCAAATCCAAAAAAGGAAGAAAATGAACATACAGATGAGAAATTGGGAAAGAAGAATAAAAATAAATTTTTATTTTTATTGCCATTGCCATTTTGGTATTTGCTTTAATGCGTAACCCAAAAAATTTATTTATTTTCTTTGCTTCATCTTCATCTCTTGTGCACATGGATTTTTACAGATTTTTTTGTAAAAAGTCAAGGTTAAGACGAGCCGTCAAAGAGTTCAGATAGCAATAAGGTAGCTTAGGTCTTACCAGGGATGTCGCATTGTTCGGAGATGGCTCGGCCTTTCATCCATCAATTCAATTTTGTTACTGTCTGTCTTTCTTTCGAACAGCACAAGTTGGATAATCGAATAGAAATTCGGCATTAAACATGCGTGACTCTAGCATTGTGCTGAACTCAAATCAAACCCAGCATGATGCCAGCTTAGTGCCGGATTTCTATTCTTTTAACTGATTTGTGCTATTCTAGTCTGTCTGTACATTCAAGAACCCTGGCTATAGTGTCATCAACTTTGTTCCTTGCTTTAATGTTCCTCAATAAGCACAAAAGAATTAATACAGCGCAACCATCCAACATTAAAGACAATACTATGGGTCCTCGATTTGAGTAGATTCGATTTGAATAGATTCGATTTAAATAAGATTTTTCTGGAACAAAACACCTCCTCAAATCGAGGACCCCCAATAATTAGATAGACAAAAATGTCGAATTTTCACAATTTCACGGTCATTAATCATAGCTTAATCTTAGTGTCTATACTTTGAAAAATTTTTCCCATCAAATTTTTTTCTTCCATCATTCGTCTCATGAGCCTTTTGTGAAACTGAATGAAATGAATCGTAAGTGCCTTTGATACGAGTCGTATAATGCGATTATTGATTGACTGAAAATGCTCCGTTTTTGCGTTCAATGGAGGACGAAACAAAAGGGAAAAAGGAAGAGAAAAAAGCTCATTTCAGTATATCCTGAAGCGTACTCCTCCCCATCAGTTTTCTTGTGCACGATTGATGCCAGAATGAAAACAAACAAAGCTAAAATTATTCGGATAAATATACAGACGTGTTACCATAAATGTCACTAACAATAAATTGGAGCAATGGATGCTAAAAATACGACTGAAAATGAATAGAAATGAAATTGGAAAAAAATAGCGACACTTGAATGACATTAATGAATTTCCTGCTGATTGTTGACTTTTTGTGAAATGTTGAATTTTGTAACAAAGAAGTCCTTTAAATGACAGCTGGATGCTTTTGCTGTGGACATTTTTCATAATGAATAAGCATGTCTAATTAAACAGCCGCAGTGTCATTGAAAATTATTTTTTTAATGCGTCATTATTTCAATTTAATTTAATATCATAAATTGAAACTGAAAAGTTAATTAATGGCAAATTAAAACCAAATTTCATCAAATTGATGTGTTTTTCAATGGAATTAATGAAAAATTCATGAAAATTGAATTTAAAATATTTTTGTTGATTTTTTGGAATTTTTGAATTAATTATGAGAATTTTTGAAGGTTAGCGTGCATTTTTAAATTTAAATTTATAAAGCTCTAACTTGAAAAATGGACTAAGGCTAGTTTTTAATATTTTCTGTTCTTGAAAACAGTATGTGATGATTCAGGATACTTCTCTGGTCGTACAGTTCAATTGTGATCCCATAAACTCCCATAGTCGTCACCTAAAATTAGCTCTATCGCTGGCTACCGTCTCTGTCGATTCTTAATGCAACACTGTCTCTATAAACAGTCTCTTTCCACGAGTTCTTGGTTCAGGATGAGTCAGAGTAATTCTTAATTCTGGATGAGAGCCAGGCGCGTAGCCAGGAGGGTCTTTTTCTCCTCTTAAGCGTTTTAGGCCGAGTTCTCGTGCAGTTCAAAACGTTTAAGGGGGGTGGGACAAGACCCTCCTGGGTACGCGCCTGATGTGAGCCAATTTATATAAGCAAATGATTGATATTGGATTAAGTGGTATTTGTGGGCATGGGATTGCATTATTAATCCATTTTGCTGAAAGCCCTAATTGATGATTGACTGTTTTTGAAGCACATCAAGTTTAGCTGTAGTTCATGGAATTTGTGCTTCGGTGCTCAACTATTAAGGCAATAAAAATCATCTTTGAGACAATATGTCGATTTGTAATTTTGTGGAGTGAAAATATGCAGCTTTTATGCTGATTTAGCTTCAATAAACTTTTTTCTGAATCATAACTTCAAACCGAATAAAATGACCCGATCGCCATCTCCTCAATAATTTAATAATTCCTAAAAATGATGAAATATTTCTGCTCCACTTCAAATTGACTAAGAAATGTAAAATTTTCTTTTTCTTCATCATTTTTCTTTACTTTTCCTCCTTTCATCATATTCATCTTCCAAATGAATTTGCTTTGAGCTGGAAAACGTCTTTTACGGAAAATAAATTTTTTCTTCTTTTCATTTTTATTTTTGTTACGTTTGCAGCTCCGGCTCCTTTCATTTAGCTCATAAGACTTCTAAGTGAATTGGCCCAGTGAATAATTTACTCATCTTTATTCTCTGACTACTTTCAAATTTTATTTGTTCTTTATCCTCTTGATTCCTCTTCTCCTTCTTGTCACGAGAATCTTGTGTGTCTTTTTACTTCCTTCTGTTTCAGTCTACCGAGTAAATTATGCTTCTTTTTGGGGGGTGGAGGGGGTATTGAACCCGAGGAGTGTATCTTCAATAGAATTGTAACATATCCAAGATTTCTGAGAGGATTGTTATGGTTAAATTGGCTGTGGAGTACTTTGTAGCTTTATTTGCATCCCTTTCATCCATGTTTTGAGTAAAGCTAAAGCCCTAGCTATCTTATCCATCTTTTAGTGACATCGTAGCTTGGATGAAGTAATCTAGCTACCTTAGAAGGCAATTCTAGTTCAGATGAAGGAACCTTAGATATCCTAGCTATGAAATATTAGACTAGCTTTCCAAAAAAATAACTCTATCTTATATAAAGAAGACCAGCTACCCTAGTAAGACCTAATAATGCACAGCATCTCCCGGGTCAGGTGACTAAAACTTTTGGCAATCTCATCCTTCTCATTCCACATCAATTTCCCTTAATTTCATCTTCCATTCCATTTTATTTAATATATGTAGGCATTTATATTTTATACAGAAAATGATGGGACAAAATGAGGCAGATATTAAGTCTGCAAGATCAGTCGAGTGTAAATTTAAGTTAATTTCCCTCCATCCAATTTTTCAATTGCGGTTTGAATTCGGAAGGAATCTTTTTTGTCTCATTTTCCCCTTCCTTTTCATCCCCTTTTTTTCATGACTTTGTTATGGTTATGAGAATAAATTTTATGGATTTTGATAGTGTGACCTCAAGTTGACAGAAGATATGAAGAACTTTTATTTTTTGACAATTTTATCTCATAATGAGATTAGGATAGACATCTTCATCATTGTCAATTTTTCTTTGTGTTCATTTATTACTGGAAAATTGAATATTTCTTTATAATGCTGAGCATATCTTACTATAGATTTAAAGTCAGTGAATTAATTGAGGATTAACATTTAATATGGGTTTTATTTTTGATAGATGATTGAGAATTTATGAAGCATGCATGAGGGGTGAATCTTGATACTCATTCATTTAATTGTCTTGGTTTTGTGACATTTTTTGTGAATTATTTGTCTTTTTCTGTTGAGAAGCTTGGAATTAGTGACCTGTACCCTCTTTTGCTTCTGTAGCTATAGATCCATAGCTCATTTTATTCATTGATTGTCGACAATTTCTTGTAATCTTCACCTCAAGTATTCCTTATAATAATCATCTAATTAATGACATTAATCCCTTCCATCTAATAGCATTCCAAACTATCACAAAATAATTACCAATCTAATTGATATCCCAATCAAATTATCATTAACATTCATGAATCATATAAATAATAATTTCCACTTTTTTACATCCACATAATTGTATTCATGAGTTTCTATAACAGCTCAAAAAACCACATTTACAACCCAGAATCTTTTATTGTTCACTTTCTTCATTTCATAAAAGAAACACGACTTACGTAGAAAGCCATGAACTTCCACGCTTGACTTATGTTTGATAACATATAAGTTGCCAAATTTGTCGTATAAAGTGTAAATGGGGAAAGAAAAGAAACAGTACTTTTGGTCATTTTTATGCTTTTGTTCATACATTTTTGCAAAAAAGAGTTTCAACAATTTTTATTTCTTTGTAATTTTTTTGGGGGATTTGAACTCTGGCTATTTCCAGTAATCAAACCAAATATTAAAATTTCCAAATGAGAATTGCTAAATTTAAGTTGCCAATTGATTTATTTTTATCAAGGGTGTGGAACTGAAGAATTACATTTTGATCATTTTTGATAATTTTTGATCAATTTTGATCATTTTTGATCATTTTCGATATTTTTTTTGATTATTTTTGATCATTATTGATCATTTTTTGATCATTTTTTGATCATTTTTTGATCATTTTTGATCATTTCATCAGTATCACACCCTTGATTTTGATACCCTTTGAGTTTTTTGAAAATGAGTCCTTGCGCTGTATTAAAAAAAGTGTGTTTTGACCAAAACTAATAACTTACAAGCTTTTTGCGTGGAACTAATAAAGAAACATAATACACAAAAAAATGTGCGAAAATAAACGTCTTTATTGGTTACGCAATAAACGTAAAAGACACAAAGAATGACGAGAGAACTTTTTTGTGACTCTCTGTTGGAGGTCACGACTGTTTTCATGTCATATCGTTGACACAACCATTTTTGTCATCTTGCCATTCTCTTCAGTTTTAGAGATGAACTTATGAGTAGCTTTTGTGGTCAGTTTTTCCCAAATTAGCTCAATCAGCTTGACAATAGCTTAACAAGGTATGGTGCCATCTTTGAAGTGCCTTACAACCAAGGTTTCGGAACTGATGAATTAGATTTTGATCAAATTCGATCATTTTTGATTATTTTGATAAGTTCTGCAAGCTTGCTTATAACTGCAATGTCTTGTCAATGGCCCTGGTTATGGATCAAATTTTTAAGTCAGTTCGAATTTTGCCTTATTACAAATTTTGGAAGCATTTTAAATAAGTCTGCACTTTGCTAGCTGTGAACCTATTTAGATATGTTTCCCCCTGATTCTTGACATGATGTTGATTTGCAAACTCTAAAGTTTAGTCCACTAAATCTTCAAATGCGTTATATCCTCTAAATCTACAAGATTACACTACCATCATTGTTTAGAAGCATCGAGGACAAG